TCATGTTCATGAGGTCATTTAATGCTCACTAGTTTTGATTAAACTGAGCACGCACATTGAATGTGAGCTGGATAAACAAATTAAACTATAGTCTGTAGTCGCTGTTGCAAGAGCCTTTAATTTCTCACGACAAACAAAGTTTTAATCGTAGGATGAGAGTGCATCAAACCGGTGGCCGGGAAGATCACTCCTGGAAGATCAAACAATACGATTACGGCATCTTCAGAACAGATTTATTACTGGAACTTCCACAAGAAGGGAGATGTTTGGTGGAAGGATAGCTGCACAACCTGTCAGAAATCGCTTGCATATCGCTGGACCTCGTCCCCCGAACACCTAATAATGGACGAATTTTAACGCCTCTTCATCGCCGCAACCGACTGGTGTGGGCCACAAGACACATAAGGTTCAATCAAAGACAGTGGAATACTGTTGAATTCAGCCACAAATCTCGATTCACATTGTACCGCAGGTGAGGTGAACAGCATCTGCGTCCGTGAAGTGGACAGATTTGGTGGCGCAGTGTAATTGTATGGGGTTCGATTGGCACACACAGACGTTCTCCCCTTCTTGTCCTTCGAGGGGAATTAAATGCTGCCCAGTACAGGGATCAGACTTTGCAACTTGTCCTGCTTCCCTTTATGCAGAGACATGGCCCTGTACTGATGTTCCAACAAGACAACGCCAGAGCGCATACGTCAATTCTTACACAAACTTTCTACGAAATTCCCGATATTGAAGTTCTGGATTCGCTGTCGCGTAGCCCCGACCTCAATCGTATCGAACACAACAAGTCAATCCACCACAGGCGTTGCAAGATCTTCAACGTCACCTTGTTGAGTAGTGGCGACGTCTTCCTCGGGGTGTGTTTACTTACGTAACATCCATGTGGAGACGTTGTGGGGCCGATCTTCACGGCCTTATGAAATAGACATGTGTTGATGATAATAGTTAGACTCGTATGATGGACACTTTAAGCATCCCCTGGTAAGAAACCTGTTGAGCGACACTCGGCAAATCAAATTTACTTTTTCACAAGATTTGTCAGTTGTGGGTGCTACGGGTCGGGCAGGACAGACTTACACTTGGAGTCATCACTGAGTTTCAATGATTTTCAATTCATACAATTTTCGCCGCTATTTTACCCTTAAACCAAATAGAATCAGTTTAAGGACATTCTCTTTCAATGACGTACTATATTTCTGAATATGAGAATGTCGTTATATATTGTACATGACCGAAGATCTAGTGAGGTGTTCTGCAAGAGCGTCTGTGGCATTTTACTCCATGTAATTTTTGTTGCGTGCTCGCAGTCACCACCTGTGGAAAAGGAATATGTCAACTTTCATTTTCATCATTTTTTTTACAATAATTCTGAAGTTTATCTAGCGATGAGCAACAGATACAAACAACATCAACAAATCAATTATATTGAGGTGCAGTGTATTATACAGCCAGTGTGATTTGTGATTCTATATGAAACAGCGGTGACATTTTCCGCGCTCGATTTATACATAAATACAGCTTTATTGACATCATTGCTAGTTTCTTTAGAAATGCAATTATACTAACCGTCGAACACCCAAAACCTGGTCGACCGACACTTTGTTTATAACACCACACTGGCCCACGTGAGAGTAAAGCAATCGTTCTGCTGACTGGTCTACAATAAAAGTGTGTTATATAATGATATTTGAGGTTCAAAGTTATACCACCGTTGCCAATAATTCACCAATTTCAGGGAATCCTATAGCATATAGCGGAATACAGTTATGCAGCTTTTAAGGCATCACACGCCGTTATGAGATACAAATATATAAAGAGTTCTTAAATTGTGTTTCAGTTTGGAATTGATACTAGCTTAATAACTGCAATCGAAACTTGGAGACCATTCTCCTCACTATACGTCATAAAATATAGATACTCATAAAGGATAAGATTGATGCTGACCGTGCTGTTATTCGAACAAGGCAACTTACATAAAATTAGAATGTTTAATCTTTGTACAGTTGTAATTGATATGAGTTTCGTTATACAGAGGTCTTGCACCTATTTCATGGTGTTACTTGGCAGGCTTCTTGCAGCATATTGCGCCAAGTAGCGCCAGTCATTTGTGTTGAACTTGGTTGAAACCGTTGCCTATTGTATTGTCCGAAGTACATCCCTAGCTGACACGAGGAATTAGAGCAGTCTTTCTTGACTGCGTAAAAGTTGTGTGATGATGAGTTCAACACAGCTCTCGCCCGCGAGCATCTTTTGTCAGAGAGCTCCCTTGAACCTCAACTTCAGCTTTATTTGCAGAGGTACGTCATGGAGAAGCAATTTGAATGATTTCGAACTTTATCTCTTCGATTTTTCACTGAAATGAAAATTGACTGCAATGATTACAACCACCACCATTCACTGTTTTATTTGGTGTAAAAACTGAGAAACGAAACGCATTGCATAAGAATTACGAATTACAGAGCTCTCCAGTGATCGATTTTGACTAGAATGTTAGTGTAATGATGAGTCCTTTTGAATAACCCAAAGTGTGACTCCTTTGGGGCAATGCAGTTCTTCCAACTGCAGCTACTTTATCAAGTACACTTTTTCATAAGTTAATTACAATATCCGGTGACACTGGACGGATGCCTCTGATGTTATGAAGCAGTGGGTTCATGTCATGCAACCCTTTCAAAGAGGAAACTCGCGTTCAAAGCAAGCAAGTCAAAAGTAAAATTATGTTTTAATTTCGAAACTAAGTCTAAGTCTAAATATTTTTCTGTCGTAAAGAATGCAACTGCAGTGTTTGGTTTGGTTTGGTTTGGTTTGGCGGAACATATTGGGAATAATTTCAAAATAATATAAGTTTTCCTCAGGAGCTCAATTTTATGTAAAAAAACAGTATCCATATGGTATCGTCTAATATAATTGCAAATCTATGTTTACGAAGAAACTAAAGGATAATATTTAGTTTCGGTTGGACAAACTTGAGATACATAAGAAAATGGAAGTTCAAAAGTTGCGAGGTTACTTTTACAGTGCTCATACAATTAAACAAGATTCCGATGAAAATGAACAAGTAATCGTGTTGTGGTCTCACGAAAAAATGAAATATCCATAATACCAGCTCACGGTGCTTGCTGTCTATCACCGCCACATAGCTGATATATAGCTCAGTGTGTAGATACACAACAATCAGACCATTGAAGTCAACACCTAATCCCCAAAACTGTAACTTGACTTCACCCCGACAACACATTCATTTGCTTTAAGTAGGAAAAATATCCAATGCTGAAAAGTTCAAATGTATTTGATTATCCTCATTAACAGCACAATTTGTCAATCTAAATAGCCTCCATTCATTAGTCACCAATTCTCACAGAGAATGCCCAATTTGAAAGACATAAATCGTTAAAAACTAAAGACAATATTCCTGTCACTTGTTGCTGCTGTTTTATTGAAGAAGGTGTCACGAACGAAAATCAGGAATTGTAGCACTCAAGGGGAGCTTGTAAAAATTCCATCACATCTCATACAATACCACCCTACACGATCGTTGTAATCTATGTGACTGTTCTTTATGATGGCTGCATAACACATTGAAGGGAGATATCATTCACAAAGTTCAGTCGTTAATCCCAAAATTGTGTTTCGTTAAGGAAACAACATTACATGTAACATCCTCTCCACTCAGTTGAGTTTGTTAGCATTATAACAATAAAGTTGAAGTCAAAGCTCTTGAAAATATAACTTTATGTTATACTGTTAAATGCAGTCCTTACGCAAAAGAAGTCGACAAAAAGAATCAACATCTGAGAGGTAATATCATGAACTTCACTGACAAAAATTATCACTAACAGCATTATAAAAGGTAATATTATTGATCAGGTTGTGAATGAATGCCTTAGTACCGTAGATTACAGATTTGCACAAAAAACACTTGTTCACATGAATAACAATCATTCCTTCTTTCTCCCTATCCCCTTGTCCGTAATCCCGCTGGGTCTCGGCATGAGTCTTGGCCATTCTGTCAGAATTCAAAAATGTTATTTTTGTAATCTACGTTACCAAACTGTAATCTACGTTACCTTACAAACTCATTCATTTGTCGTAATAATCGTCCTGATATAGACTGATTTTACAACGCCTTACCATATATGAAACTCATTATGGCTTCTTGATTAGCAATAAATAAAATATTCATAACAGTTACTGGAACATGTGATAGCTATGAAGGTATTTCTTCATTCATTGCACTCTTCGTTACCATACTTTGACAAGCGAGTACCAAATTGAGGGGGAAGATATGTTGCAGGTTTTTAAGAGATCGAAATATCATACGTTTAGGGTCAATATCAATATGTCTAAAAAAACTATGTGATATTAACAGAATTGATACAAGCTTCACGAAATACAACTTTTGTATATTATCATTTCCAAATGCTTCTACCGAAGAACTTCTCAACAGTAGAACAATTGTTTTGAAATATTGTGAAACTATATCCCTATAATGAAGTAAATTAACAAGCAATCTTACCTGTTTCACAGGGAATTTCCCAAATAAAGATGAAGTTTCCATTCCAAATTTGAATTTCGTGAAATGTCACTGAAGTGCTGCGACCATGTGACAGCAACCGGTGGCAACTGTTGTAGGTTATCAAATTATTTGCCTGGGCTCTCTGACTATGCTACGAAGCAAAATCTTCTATTTCCAGTAATATTCTGTAAGATTCCATATCAGGTGGTAACGTAGATTTCATAACGTAGATTACTTTCACTGTTTGCAAACTACCATGATCTTGACTGGAAGCATATTGCACTCCATTTTCGGTTTTATTACACTATGAAAACACAAAGCATTCATTCTAATCACTTTTATAGGTAGCTGTCATTCATGTTTCTCTACAGTAATGGTAACGTAGGTTTCATGCTTAACACAACTATTTTTATAGAACCGGGTTCGTCTTTGTGTACGGTTTTATATGGTACGATGCGTCCCAAGATGACAATTTTTCTACATATAATATATCCAGTAAAAACTTGCGAGCTTTCAAAACACATGTTTGTCAATATATACTAGGCACATAAAGAAACTGTGCATACAAAAATTTAAAACCTAATTTATCAAACCTGTGTAGACACATAAGGATTCAAACTCAGAGATTAGTGTCATGTATCCAACATGCATGCACATGCCACGTTCCGTGACGTCAGTGGGTTCGTCCTTGAGACGTGCAATACGTTGTTGCACGTGCATTCCGGGAAAGAGAAACAGAGCAAATGAATGCCACACAATACTGTCACTTTGGAAAGCTCAACCCCTGCCCTTGTGATCGTTCAAAAAATTAAACGGCTATTGAAACGCATATCATGCCAAGGCTCACGTCTGCACAACGTCATGAGGCTATTGGGATGGTCCGTGAGGGAATGTCTCAACGACAAGTGTCTGCACATTTCCACTGCCACCGGAACACCATTTCTGCACTGGTGAGACGCTACCAGAACAAAAATAACGTCATCGATCGGCCACGTTCTGGACGTCCACGTGTAACAACGCCAAGACAGATCATATGGATAAGGGTGACCCATCTTCGCCACAGGTTTCAGACTGCAGTGATGACTGCCCGAACCATCCCAGGACTTCGCCGTATCCACCCCTACACAGTTCGACAACGTTTACGTCATCACGGGATCAGACCACGACGTCCCGCCAAACGGCCTATCCTGACACAACGTCATCGACAAGCTCGCCGAATGTGGTGCCGAAATCATGTCCGCAGACCCTTGTTTTTTGTGGAGAAATGTTGTTTTTACAGATGAGTCCAGGTTTAACATAGTGATGGACGTCAACGTGCCTATAGGCGCGTGGGAGAACGTTATGCACAGGCCTGTGTCTTAGAGAGGAATCGCTTTGGTGGTGGTTCCGTGATGATTTGGGGTGGAATAACAGCATGCCAAAGAACTCCTTTGGTGATTGTTCAGGGCAACTTAACTGGTGTGGGCTACAGGGTTTAGATTCTTCGACCTGTGGCAATTCCTTTTTCTGCAACGTCATGGCCCTGGGTTAACATTCCAACAGGACAATGCCCGCCCTCATACGGCAAGGGTTGCTATGGATTTCTTGCAACACCACAACGTTGACGTACTGCCTTGGCCTGCAAATTCACCGGATCTCTCCCCGATAGAGCATGTTTGGGACGAGATGGATCGACGTCTACGCTGTCTTCCTCATCTTGACCTTGCAACAGAACTTGAAAGAATCTGGCGTGACATCCCACAAGCCTTCCTTGCACGTTTGATAGGCTCTATGCATCGTCGATGCACTGCTGTTCTCAATGCCGATGGTGGACATACCCGTTATTGAGCTTGTGACAAGGTCGTTTGACCCCTGTGCAGCTTGTGGACTCGTGACGTCATTGTGGTTGACTTTTCAATTGAAATTCTCCCGACTTGTTATGGTCTCATGATCCCTTCATTAAAGTTTATATGTACCTTTGACATTGTTATCGTACTTATAAATTGGGATAATATTTTGACAATGCACAGTTTCTTTGTGTGGCTAGTAGATATGCATTTTACACTGCATTTTACGTTCTGTAACGTAGATTACCGCTATTGTGGCGACATATTTCGTAGTGTCACATCTGTTTTGTTTATTATGATAATCCCTTCATTTAACATAGGTTTTACATTCATGTACGTACAACCTATGGGAAGTGATTTTAAAAGCCTTTGATGGTAAACCTACTAATTGTATCCATTTGTTTAAACACTACAGCTTTGGCGACATCAAGAATGAATAAATTGTGACACATGTTTTGATTGTTACAAAATGGATGCGTATTTGACTTTTATTCGTGTTTATTTATCTGTTAAACAAGTACAAATCAAAACGACAGAAGACATAGGTAATTGGGCATTCTCCCTGAGAATTGGGGAGTACATCATTGTTAACTTGCAAAAAATATCAATATATGAAGGGTGAAGATGTTCACTCACCACCCCAAAATCCGGGGTTTCCAGTCCAAGGATCCAATGTTTTCTATTCTGTTCAGGAACGCTTATGTGACATTTCCCTAATGCATAGCGTGTCTCATTCCCCTTATAGTTTCAAAAATACACTCATTAGACACGATGTATTTTGCAGCCATTCTTAGCATATGACATCTTCAATCTATCTCTTTGTGAAAAACTCATGTGGATCCAAACACATCCAATTCCGACCCACATTTAAATTGACAGGTACTACTAAATCCCACTGTTGCAACCAAACAATTACACAATGAAATCAAGAATAATGTGTGTATAGATCATGGCAGCCCACAGTTTTCATCTTCTTTCAGTCATTACTTGTGATGTGTCCAGACTTAATTAATTACACATTGGCATTATTGCTGAAATATTGCTCAGTGGGGCGTAAAACAGCAATCAACCTAATTTACAACCATTATTACAGTAAATCATTGTTGATGTCAATAAATGCTTCTGGCGTCTGACCAGTTGGTTGAACTAAGGAAAGGATCATCACTAAATACAGTCTGTTTCTGCGTCTTGCACTGAGATGACTCTTTGTCATACCTCCACTGCCTATCCTTGTTACATCAAATCAAGACGTGATCCCAGACAGCATGTATGTAATTTGTTCCGGCGTGTTGACGTATCCCCAACTAGCTTGACATTTCAAAAGTATTCCCATGTTTAATAACGCCGACTTACAGTACATACGATTACAAACCTACACAGTTACGAATCACCTGTTTCCAGTCTGCTGGACATTGTGCCGTCACGCATCATCCACGGGGAACAGATTGGTGCAATCATGTTTAGACATAAATACTCTATTTCGTCTTTTGCCCGAGTGCCACACACACATTATTTTATCCTTCCTTGACCATAGTTAGTTATCAATATATACAATACTTTCGACAGACTTCACCAATCTCCATGGCTGATTTGATAACCTGTTTCAGGTATCTATGAACTCAAGAGGAAGCAATAATAATAATGGATCTCGATTAAAGCGAATAAAGGAAATGAAAACAAGAGTTTTTCATGTAACGTCATTGGTGATTTTGTTGATGGTTCTTTGCTGCTGGACGATACAGAAACATGTGTCAACCAAGCGAAGTTTCATATCCAATCGAGGGATGTCAATAACAGCAAAGCCTCCAAAGAAATTGTACATAAAAGTGGTGTTGACACAGGTGTAGATAGTGCGTGTAATGCAAGCAGAGGTAAAGGTAATATAATAAAGTTGATGCAACTGTTGTACCGACCACGTTACCGCTAATGAAGCTGGCTTGATAAGGTGTCGGTAATGGAGTCAACCCTCATAACGGTATTTGTGATAAAGTTAACGCTTAAACGTATCTCTTGAAGTCATGCTATCATTTAGTACTGAAACAATATATGGAAGGTGATGCTGTTGCTGATGCAGATACTACAAATGATCAGTATGTGTGATTGACAGTGTATTCAATATATCATTCTATGTATGTATACTCGGCGTTCTGTATTAAGCAGTTTGATTCAATGGCTTTGGTTTAAGTGCACTTCGATCAGCTTCAGGTGCATCATGAGGTTTCAGCTTAAAGATAGATGAGATGGTCATAAAAAGAAACTTCAATACCAATATGACTGTGTTACCAAGTAAAATAGAAAAGGTTTATGTATGTAGTTATGATGACTAACAGGGCAATATATCGGTAATTAATATATGCGTTAAGTACATGTTGTTAAGAGTTGCTTGGTTGAAATCTCAAGATATCAAGAGGATTTATGGAGCTCCTATTAACACCCAGTGTATTATTGACAGTCAAACGTTTAAATACAGGGGAATAAATGACAGACCGTAAACAATCAGACGCCATTACGCTTCAATTAAACAGTATACATGAGCTTGTAAACCAATTCAGTTTCGTCAAATGTGTCTATCGCTGAAATAGAACATGAATGATTAATTAATATCGTCCGTCTTTATACTAAATCAGCTCCTTTCATGGATGTATATTATATGCAGGAAATACGCTAATGGACGGTGTGGAAATGTGTAATTATTAGGCTATCTATTTTGATAAATTTTAAGTGGAGTGGTACGAGAGTCTGAATCAGAACATACCTAAATATACATTTTAGTTTTCAAGATCACTTAATCAATAATGTTATTGGGAAGGCATAAAGCAGTCTATTTATGAAGTATAACTTAAATCCATGTGGTGCGAACTATAGAAGGATCAGGAAAGTGGCCTTGCAAACTGAAAGGAGATCTTGGCTACACAGCAAATGTTTTAAAATACTCCCAACAACATGGTGCAACTTTAATATCAAAGATTCATGGTCATTTTGTAAACTGACCTATGTTCCTAAAATGTAATATATATCTCTTTCCTTTTGTAAAATGACAGTTGAAATGTTTCACTGTATGTATGTTTTTTGACGATATTGATCACTCAGTGCTGTATGAAGAAGTAAGTGATAATGATGCTGCAAATGACATAGCTTCACTAACTTCACACTAGGGTGGGCGATAATACCGATTCACCGGTATATTGCAATTCAAACTTCACAATATGATATATTGCGGTACACTTTTCGCAAACCGGTTCTCCCGATACGATCGGTAATTTTCGTGATGTAGTTAAAACTTCTAATAACATTTGTATTTCCTTTATATTATTATACATTAATAGTTTTGAGAATGTTTATTGGTCATATAATTAATAGCTATTTGCACATTTGTGAGACTTTTAAACCGTATAAATAAGATAAAATAGATTGGTACCGGCACTCGTTGATGGGATAAACAAACCAAAATGGCGGACGCTTTTTCTCGAGTTCCAAACTTTAGAGCGAAGTTTTTAATTTGGAAACATTTTCAATTGATCTCTTGTACAATCACATCTGAGTCCTTACAGTGGCCAGTGGCCACAATATATTGCAATACATATTGGAATACGCCAACACATATCACAATATATCGCAGTACGAAAATATTGGCAATACCCAACTCTACTTCACACACGATAAGAGTTGACTTGACATTGTATCTTTATGCATCGACGTTTTGTGTATTTGTTAGTTGTACTTGCATTTACCACGATAATAGTTTTAAACGACATTTACATGGAGATAAGTCTGATTAAACAGTGAGAAAATATTATGTACCTACCCGAGGCCTGCATAGAAGATGTATGATCGCAGGTTCGAGTCCCAGATTTGTCCGGAATATGATTGCTTGGACTGCCACGCCGTGATGTGACTGAAAAGCTTTTCAAAGTACCGAAATACATTTGGTCGTGAAGTTATAATGAACCGATGAATACAATACGGTCTTGAATTGAAAAAACCCAATATGAAATGTTTATTTTCGCTCTCACTTTGGGAATATACATCAACATCTCGATGCCAGATAAATACAGTAATACTCATATTTACCAGAAGACATATACACTATATTAACAATTATAGCACCGTGCAAGATGAACATGAATATAATCGTGTATCACAAAGCAATAAAAATATGCAAATATACTTTAACATGACACTGTTGAACGGAAGTTCGGGAAATTAACAATATGTTGATTTGGTTTCAAACGAACAGTTTTCTATTTTGCAGAGTAAACCATATATCCATGTACATATATTCAATTCTCACCTCAACCGGTGAAATATAAATAGTTATCTCACCATTTCAGACACCCACGGTGGTATAATAACCTCATTTCCTCCCGAGAAACAATAGTCTGAAAAATGAACTATGCGGTTTGGTGGGAGATGTTGGTCCTATATATATTACATGAATTGACGTCGATTCATGCCGACTCTATAGCTATTGTATGGTCAGTGCTGTGTTAGATGTGGCAATAACCGAGACAGATATAACAATATTAATATTTGATCTGATAGCTTAAGCGCAAAAACGTAACGGTTATGCATTTACAATGTAAAATGGATATGCATTTTTCTTGATTTGGATGGTACGATAGTTTAGAGGTTCAACGCCTGTATTTGTTACAGGTGCCTCTGTTGGGTGCAGGATAAACACACATTTCAGTGAGTGAGTAAGTGAGTCTACTTTGTCGCCGCACTCGGCAATATTCCAGCTATATGGCGGCTGTCTGTAAATAATCGAGTCTGCACCAGACAATCCAGTGATCAACAGCATGGACAACGATCTACGCAACAATTCAGCGAACCTCACCACCTGATCCCGTTAGTTGCCTCTTCCTGTATATATTTGGCTGACTTGGTTGACACATGCCATCGTATCCCAAAATGCATAGCTCGATGCTCATGATGTTGAACACTGGGTATCTAGCCCAGACTCGATTATTTACAGACCGCTGCCATATACATGAACATTGTTGAGTGAGAGGTTAAAACAAATTTAAAGGGAAAGAAAAAGGGAAAATCTGTTAATACTTTCTCTGTGTCAGGAAATGCTTCCAGTCATTCTTACAGTAGTGGTTAGATTAGCAGCCATAATTGACATTAGGATTTAAACTGTTTCTCCTTGTCTTGTGACAGACATATCCGGAAATGTTTAACGCCGTCATCATTTCAGTTACGCTGGAATTACATCTTCAGCCTTAGTTGGAGAGGTGTGTAACATGGAAGGTATTTGAATGATTTCGAAATATATTTCTTTGGTTTATGTATCACAATCAAACTTGACTGCAATGACCGTGTGAGAACATGAGAATCG